GAGGAGTGGAAAGCATTTTCACACTAGAATGGCATGGTTGATGTTGATTTTTAATCTCCTTTGTCATGACAAAGTATAGGGAAAAAAATCAAAAAGCCAAACAAACCACCTAAGATTAGGCAGAATAAAACCACATTAAAACGGATAGGAAATGCCTATTCTTGTTCTGAGAAAAAACACATTTAGAAAGAGCAGAACTTCCCACAAATCCAAAATTCTATTTCCTGCACTGCTAGCAATAAGAATATAACATTATATTTCTAAGGCCTATACCTCCACATCAGTATTACTGCACTTACACACCAAGCATTAGTACATGTATACACTCTCTATTCAATAAAGTTGCTATGCAACACTCTGCAACAGACTCCTTCACTTCCGTACAGTGTGCTCAGCTGAAGTAATCTGCTTCCAAATGATGAATCAGTTACTAAATTGTAAGTGGAAACTGGAAGACATCAAACATAATGCAAGGACTCTTGTTTGCGTAAGACCAATGTGACAAGAAAGAGTAAACTGAAGAAACATTTTCTGCTCCAACGTCAAAAAAACATAACAGAAGCGAAAGAAATTCAAATTATGAGAAATTACCACAGACTCCTTGCTGAAAAGCCGGCAGAAATAAAACAAAACCAGCCTCCCCCCAAAACCTTGTACCTTGCCATGAGAAGTGATAAAAGAGCTAGCAGAAGCAGCAACATTTCACCTAGCAACCTGCCACAGAATCACAAAAGGATGATAATAACAAATGGGTGTGGAATTTCACCCCAAGCCTAGGACACAGACATGCCCAGAGCAGAAAGCAACTACCTCCAAGAGAGACCTGGAGGGTATTTTTTTCCTCTTTACACTTGTTTGGTGACTTGCAGGGCTTGTTGCACCATCTCACTGCCATGGAATTGAATCACATGGTAATAGGACCAGAACAATCTCTAAAATTTTGTTTCATGCATTTTCAAACAAAACCCCAAAAGGCAGTGTTCCCAGGGCTGCAGTCAGGAATGCAAGAGATAAGTAGGAAAGCTAATGAAAGTGTGATATGTATTACAAAACTAGCAAGTCTCATTTTTTCTCTAGTACATGCAAGATGACACGCAAATGGAGGAATGATCAGGCAGGGCAAAGATTTCTTCATCCAGAAGTGAAATCCAAAACAGTCAGTAGCACATCCTGCTGAGAATTGCAAGAAACACAATCAGTTGCTGATAACCGGCAGCTAAAGATCAGCCCTAACCCTGCAGTAAAGAGGTTTGAAACCTAGAAGTGTCTCCATGTGAGATCTCATCCCTTGGACAATCTCATTTTACCTACTTTACTTGCACAGTGCCTCTTACTTGATTTGGGGCTGGAAGGACTTCCTGTGGCAGTGAATTTTACAGCCTAATTACAAACTGGGTGGACAACTTCTTCCTTAATGGACATTTGCCACTTTTTGGTTATACTAGATGTCCTTTTCTTATTCTGTCACGATTCAGGTAGGAAAGCCTATGCATCCTTTACACTATATGTAATGAGTATGGCACACACAAATAGCACTTATCAGCTCCTTGTGGGATATTGTTTCAAAGCTTCACAAGTCTCACTGTAAGGAAGGGCTTTCAGTAACATGTTAGGAATGAACACAGGTAAGCAGAATTTAGATATATCCACTTTCGGCATTTAAACTTCAGCCTTGCCCACCTGCCAAGAATATAAAATAAGTTTATTTAACTTATTTAACAGGTGACACTTTTTCCTCTACCACATTGCTACTGTTCCCTTAGAGTCACTCTGAATTTCCTCCCTTCTGATCTCTGGCATCGCTTCTTCTTTTGCTTCATGTAGTACAAAATTTCTCTCAAATTTCTCCAGAAATTTTTCACTTCAATATGTGGACATCTCAAAAGCTGGCTGATTATTAGAGCATTACTGTTCTTTGGGCACTAAATAATCTACCCAGACAGACCACTTCAGCACTCCTCCGCTCATGCAGTAATCACTCAGGTTCCTAATCACTTCATCCGTGCTCCTGATAATAATCTGCCATTATTCAGTCCACACGGTCAGACTCCTCTCTGAAAATTGGTCCCTACCTGCATGTCCACATGGAAACCTTTGAAACAGCCACCGGTGAACACTGGGCCACATTGTCCCACAGCAGCTTTCTGAACATGGACAAATATCTGCCTTTGGGATTAACTCCCCTGCGCCTCCCCAAATATCTTATGCTCCCACAAAGACCTCAGTCTCCCTCTACCCTTCTGCTGTCTTATTTCCTACTTTCTTTGCTAGCAATTGCAACACCTCCAGCTTAGTATCATCAGTACATCTCACTAATAGACTTTTCTCTTGCTTCAGATCAGTAATGAAGAACTTTAAAAAGACATTAAGAAAAGATTTGTGGCCAAAGGTCCTATTAATTATGTTTGCTTTACCCCACTAGGCACCTTCTTCCAACGCAGCTCATTCCCATTTATCACAAGCCTTTGTTTACAGCCTCTTCACCAGTTTTCAACCCTTAAGACAGTGCTTCCTCTCCCAGGGAATCCAATTTTTTTTTTTTTTTTTAAATTAATGGCAGCATGTTTTTCTTCAAAACATTCTCTGCATATAACCACAGATTCATGTAGCAAGAAAGATACATAAAGATTTAACCATAGAGTAGAAATCAAAACAGCATCAATTTCATACAGGTAGAATTTCATGCTGATAAAAGAAGCAGACAGACAGCATCCCGGCCAGGACAGTCAGGGGAAATTCAACAGCCTGTGCTCTGTAAAGGTCAGGTGAGATGATGGAAAGCATCCCTGGTGCGTCTGCATGGACAGAGTGGGTCCCTGGTGGGCCAGTTCTGATGCCACTCTCACTGCTCCTCCCCAGGGCAGCTCCTGCTGGCAGAGGAGCGACTCCGGCTGTTCTGGGAGATAAATAGGAATAAAACAAGGCCTCGACTTTTTGTCAGTCAAGCTTTGCTCCTGACTGCTGGTGTCCAGCAATTAACATGACAGACATCTGCAGCAGTCAACTGGATATTGTTCAAGGTGTTCTCACTTGCCACCAAGGTTAAGTCTACCTGATAACAGGGATCATCCTTAAAGTGGTCTTCAAGCACAGAGTCACAGGACTCCTTATGAAGCAGGAGGAAAGGGAGCTGCATAACATGAGAATGGTGCTGCCCTCACACAGCGAGCTGTATGCTTCCTGGAAGAGGCAAACCTGCCATGCACGACATCCAGGCCACCTCCTCACCACCACGGTGCATGCCCGCAGCCAGGACTGTGGCTGGCTCCCAGCCCTCTCCTCTCCGGAGAAGGGCCAGAGAGATGGAGACAGGCTGGGGCAGTTCCTCCAAAATGTTCTTAGCTCCCATTTTTATCACCCCATGATGGGCCTGTTACATGCCTAGATGTGCACTCAGTGCCCAAACCTCTGCCATATTCAGCACACAGGACTGTGCCTCAGTGCCTCCATCACAGCTTTCAGCACCCTCCATCCCTAGCTATTGCTCAGATGTAAAAATACACCAGGGAAGAGAGACAAGACCCCTTTCTAGAAGGGCTTTGCATAGGTCCAAAGATCCTGAAATCTGCCTCCATAGCACGTTCAAGCAATAGGTGGCACCATGAAAGTGACTTTGGCACAAGGAAAAAAATGATGCAGACTGGGAAGTCAACTGTGCAAACTTCCTCAGATTTGGAAAAGAAAACTGAGCATCTGAGCTCAAGAGAAGGATTAGGAGAGCTCTGGCAAGATTTTAGCTGCTGCAGATAGCCTGATTAGGGAGATTATAGGGAAAAGCAAAGAGACTTCCTGCCATTCTGCAAGACAGAATGACTTGCGGAAGAAACGCCTGAAGTCTCACAGGCCTGCATGTGGCAGCTGCTGCCTTTGCACAGGGAATAGTCAGAAACATTAGAGTGACACAACGGACTGAGTTCAGTGCTCTTCCAATCCCTTGATCCCAACGGCACATAACCCGCCCACCAGTTCACCTCCATCCACCTAGATACAACCACTGCAAAGCCTGAGCCACCTCTATTGATGTTTCCAGCAGTTAACAACAAGCAGGCAACATCTGCTTACTCGCTCCAGTGTTTCAGGGAGAACACTGACTTGAGGCGAAAAAAAAAAAAAAAAAAAAAAAGGAGAGGCAAAGGACAGGAAGAAGAGGGAAGAAACAGTTCAGCACCAATAAAAACTGCAAAGTACAGCAAAGAAGCTTGTCTTGTCCCCATCCTCTGAGGAGGAAGGAAGCAAGGGTTATGGAGGGGCCACCTCCACTATGGGAGCAGCATGTGTGTTTGGCATGTGCCCCAGGGCTGCAGCTCACATCCCAGGGCTGCAGCACCAAGCTGGGGACTGCATCTCAGACCTGAACAGCCCCAGTGAGCAGCAGTTCAGCTGCTGACGGATCCAGGATCACACACAGCCCCGGCAGCCCCATGCCCAGCAGCGCTCATACACACACGCCAGCTCATAGGGGCGCAGAAGTCAGCACAGAAGAGGAAGTACAAAGCACAGGGTGAAGAGGAGAGAAAAAATAGCCAGTGCTACACGCCCCTAAGCTGTAAATGCGTGAAAATTTTTCAGATGAGAGGATCTAGAAGACTGTGTGAAAGCCTGAGCAAACCAATTCTCCCTGGTTCTCTCAGCTTGCCCCTCTCCAGACCTCACACACATCCCTTTTTGAGGCTGCAGACGCTATTGAACCTGTGAAGTCCTTCAGTAAGAGCAAGAAAAAACCCTTTCCTGCACATTGTTCAGCTTCAGCTCCTGAGCCATCAGCGTGGCCCTGCGCAAAGGATGACCAGGTCAGGTATATGGGGAGACTGTAGTTTTTCTGCCCATCCAATGACACCTCTTGGACCCATGATGGTGAAAAGCCTGCACACACCGTGCAGCAGCCGCCACTCAGTTTGCACCTGAACCCCACCTGGAGAACATCACCACACAGAGCCTTACTGATCACGCACTCCCCACAATCCAAGCTGAGCAGGTTGTGAGAGGGAAGCATGACTTACTAGGCACACGGTTGATAGCTTTCAGGGGTCTCAGGACACGGACAGTACGGATTGCAGATAAGTTGATGTTTTGGAGATCCAGGGAGTACTCTACCATCCTGCAGAAGAGAAGAGAGAGAGAAAGAAAAAGAAAGTTTAAAAGAATCCAGAATTTTAGTTTGAGCCACAGAGTCGAAATTTCTTCATTGAAGGGTTTCTGGAAGTCATGGGGATGAAGCCTGAGTCTTTGGGAGCAAAGCTGAAGCCTCTGGGAGCCCTCCAGGAGCAGGACCAGACCCTACGGCTCCCTTAGCAGAAAACACAGCTTGCCCACAGCAAGGCAGTGAGTGCTGAGAGCACGCCATGTGGAGCTGCGATAACACTTCGCTGCTGCAGGGGAAGGAGCTGCATGAAGATGCCCTGATAAGGAGCATGCACTCCTGGCGAGAGCACGCACGTGGGGTGGACCTTTCCCACGAGGCCAGGAGGAGTAGGGGGCTCTGTAGCCAGTTTTGCTGAGCATTACCTGCAGTGCAGTGGGATGCTCCCTGTGTTCCCCTCATCTCACAATGCAGGATGAGGTCCCTGGAGGTGGCTTCAGCTAACCTGTTATACCTCATGTAGAAGCAAACTCTGTACTTGAAGTGGTAACTGCTTTGGCTAGGTGGGAAGGCTTCTCCAATAGCTGTGAATCACTCCTCTCTGACAGAAACCAAAAGGGGAAAAACCTAATTTTAGGACGTGTGCTAGACCTTAGCTTTCCTAACCCAACACTACACTCGCTAAATAACATCAAAGTGCAAATAGCTATGACTAATGCATTGGCTTTGCTGCAAAAGCAGCAGGTACAGGTAAAAAAAAAGTGACCTGGCCCAGCATCCCTTAGTCCAGTACTCCTCACCTCACCCAGTATGGCAAATGTCCAGTAACTTGACTGCCTCTTGGAAAGCATGGTGAGAAACTGGGTTATACTAACCATTTACCCTGGCCAGGAATTTCCACCTGAGGATCTCAAATAATTTTGCGTGTTTTAGTGAACACAGGTGCATGAGGCCTCCAGGAAGACATGGGCTGTTGTCACCAGCTTCCCCAGGGTGACCCTGATGTGCAGAAGCATCAAGAGGATGACAAAGTTGGCAGGTGAAACAGCAGCAGAGTCAGGACAGGAACTCCTCCTCCTGAGTCTCTTCTCAGATGTGAATAATAAATCTACAAAAAGCTCCCTTTTTCCTTGGCCTTTCAACATGCTTAAGAGAATGGAGACGGATCAGAGGACACAGCCTTTTGTTCCTGCACCCTTTCTCAAACCAAACCCATTATAATTTATATAGGAAGACACACAAGTCCATAATTCAGCAACCTAAAGTTCACCCAAATCCCTCTGCCCAGGAACCACTGAGGAGTGAATCAGAGAGCCTAAGTGCGACATTGCGAGGCAAATGGGGTACAACCAGTCCATAAGAAACACCAGGGAGAGCGAAACTTGAATGACAACGACTGATCCTCCTACCGATTGCCCTCTTCACTCAAAAGGACCTTGAAGAGCAAATGTCTAGTAATCTGTCTACACCTTTCACAAAGGGGACTTGTCAGAGTGATAGATTTTTAAACGCAATTTGGTAAACCTGTCGAAGTGTTGTGATTATTCTCTCTCATGCTCTCTTTCTTTCTCTCCCTCATTCCTTTCACTCTGTTCTCTCATGCACTTTTAGAGTAATTGCATGAAATAATTCTTCCTCTAAAATGCAGTGGCATTCATTTACCTCCCTGGAGCTGTCAGTTCCACATACACTGAGTGCAGAAAGAGAGAGCAGGGATTTCATATAGATAATCAAAATAGGCACAACTCCAAAAAAATACAACACAAAAAAAAATCCACCCCAAACCAAGCAGCAATACTTAGACACCCTACAGAAAGCATTAGTGATAGACAGAGACTTGGGATCCAGTCAGATTAAATTGAGAAGCGGGTATGAAAGGAGGAAGAACACATGTAGAAATAAATGCACAGACACGACTACAGAGCATCACACAAAGGACGTACCTGCGTGCTGCAAATGAACACAGTGCAAAAGGCCTTGAGTAAGCACTGATAAGCTTTGCTCCAAAAGCAAGATTCCCTCATCAGCATGTTGTCACTCCAGAATTAGACAGACTTGCTGAAACTTTGGAGCTATGGTTATGGGCAAAGCACTGTATGAACATAGCTGTACTGCTCCCAGGATGTGGACCAACATCTCTTCACAGCACAGAGACTTGACATGTAGAAGCAGCTTCACGATTGAAGGAGTCCCTGTGCGTCAGTCTGTTATGGGGGGTAGGTATATACACAGAAACCTAAAGGTCTCCACACTTGGTAAAGTCCTATAGAACTTCCTTTCCTCTCCTAAAAAAATACGCCCCCTAGAGTATTTGGCTGAGGTCAGACCTCTGAAGGCAAAAAACCCCTTATTTTTAAGCAGTAGCAGAACAACCTGAAACACACTACGTCAGATACCAAATAAGCAAATAGCCCAAAAATACATCTAATTTCAAAAAGTGATCTTTTCTGAACTGCAAGTAACCAAATGAGAAGTCCTGAAGAACACCATGAACCTCACAGAAACTGAGCACAGGGTAACAGCACAGGGCTAGGGCTGAGATAAAATCAGTGGACAGAGATGACATCTTTTCTTAGACTTAGCCATACAAAATTAATTTTAAAATAGAACCTCTGTTCGAGTTTTGCCCTCTTATGTCTAGAGCCATGTTGCTGGCATTACAATAGGAGTAACCTTAACCAGGTGCACATCACTGCCCTCTCCTAGCTGGAATGAGCTTGCCACCTACACGGCACAGTCTGTGTGTCACTAGAAAATTAATAATTGTTAAAGTAGCAAGTGCAGGTCCTTTCAGAGCACAACAAATGCTACCCTAGCGGCAACTGTGCAGTTTAGCCAGCCAGTGAGCCAGCCTCCTGCAGCCCTCGGTGGCTGCAGATTTGCTGCGATTATGTTCCAGTTTAGCCAGAAAAAAAACCCACCAAACAGTAAACCGCTCTGCCAATGAAAACAGCAGGCTGTTCCTAGGATGGGTCAGAGAAGGGCAACTGGTAAATTTTTCAGAGAGCAACTTCTAACAAAAACGAGCTCAGCCCTAGCAGGCCCCAGGGCTTCAGCTTGTTTCTCAGACCCCCTTCTGTCTACCGTTATTCCTGAGGCCTTCTGGTCTTAGCTGTAATAACAGAGACATGTCCAGGATGCTTAAATCCTTGCAGATGAGTTATACCTATTGTAGTCACATAAATTATATCCAAAACAACTCCAGCACAATCCAGTGCAATTTTGCATTAGGGCAGCTTGTTCTTGCCTTTTCATTCCTAGTGATGGCTTTAGCATCCTCTTATGTTCATGCTCCTCTTTGCACAAGGGTAGCATGCCCATACCGTGATGGACTGCAGGGGGCTGGGGTGAAATGAAACTCCCCTGGTTACCAGATTACCAAAAAAAAAAAAAAAACCATTTTCTGTGTAGGTTAAACCAATGAATCCAAATATTGTCTCCTGTCTTTAATGAAATAGGATCTCTAAGCAACTCTGCTAGAGTCTTGGGCATGTGCAGCATTTCAGGGATTGACAGCCCAGCTGGTTTTCTTCTTATGTTTCTCCAGTCAGCCCTGCTGCCCACTGCCTGGAAACCCTGTACATTTAACTCCCTCTAGGGTTTGGGCTGTATTCGATCTCCTGTTGCCACACGTGGAGGTAGTGACAGGTTGACAAAGAGTGAAAAAGGCCCATTGCAAGAAGTGATCAGCCAGAAACTGGCAGCGTATTTGTGCCAGTAGGTTCACATTTTCCTGTGTCTGTGTCTCAAGATCTTGTGATGGTGGATTAGGTGCATGGTGCTTATTTGGGCTCTCAGGCAGGCACTGAGCCTTCAGTGCTTGGATCCTTATTGCACCAGCAACCCTGGGAACCTGTTTGCTGGGTGTTCATAAACCAAGAGCAGGGAAACCTTAAAGCTAGTACAGAACAGTTGCCTCCTTATTAAACTCTAGGAGCTTTCTAGGCTCCTTGTCCTTGCTTTGTGGCAGCTCAGCACCATGAGCAAGAGTAGCCCATCACGACCTGACTGCCCTTCATCTAGTTCTCCCCTCTTTCTTGGCTGCTTTAAGCATGTCTTGTTTGTAAAAGCCTTAGCTTCTTTAAGGTTCAGGGGCAGTCAGACAAAGTCTAGGATGTGGGGGGAAAAAAAAAAAAAGAAAGAAAAAGCCTGTGCTGGTTTGAGCTGTCCTTTCCCCTTATCGTGATGGGGCAAGGGGAAAAGTGTATCTCCCAAGGGAAACAGCAGCTCATTTCTGGCACTGCTAAAGTATTTTGCGGCCTCTGGCGTGGGTGGGTGAGTGCAGGGGCACATTAGGAAGCTGGAACTGTGCTAAATCAGAGAGAAATTCCTGATCTGTGATGGAATTTGAGCACTGAGCTGTCAAGATAATTGAATTTATACAGTAATTCTTCTTCCCTCACTAGAGATTTTCTTCTTCAAAACTTGCTGCATGAAACTTCTGGAAGGAGAGGGGACTGATGCACGCACCATCCCTACACCATACGGCTCAAGGTTGATGTATGGTGGGAATGATGACAGGGTGGAAAACAGAACAGGGCACCAGCTGCATGCATGGGGTTCATCCTGCAGAAGCAGCAGGGATACCTGGCAGGGAATGCCTCTCTACTTGAGCTCTGTCTCCCTCCCCATTCTCAAGGTATCCCACCTCCTCCCTACATCCTTTCTCTCTTTACGTCCCTCTGACTCACGCCCGCCTGCAACATTTCCACCTCTCACTTTAATCTTCCTCCTTCCAGTTTTTCCATTTGCCCCTTTTCTTCATCTTTTTCCACTTTTCCTTGTACCTTTCAATTCCCTTCCCAGTCCTTTCTTCCCTCTTCCATCTTCCTTTATTCCTTTTGCCCCT